GGGCTAGGGAGGGAGGGGGCGACGGCGGCGAGATGGAGGAGGGAGGGGCGACGGCGGCAGCAGCGGGCGGCAATGCAGCGGCGGTAGACGACATGGTGCGGGGGAGAGTGAGTGGAGCAGAGAGAGGAGAGTGAGGGGCGGCCTGGTGGGGAAGATAGGATGGCTTTAGCAGTAGCACCGTCCCATAAAACGCGCTACTGCCTACTGCTAAGTGTAAGCATGCAAAAACACATTGGTCATCAATGATCTTTTTGTGTGCAATCTGAATTGTCAATATGAGTCCTCTCTGGTTTAGGAACCGGAGAAGACTCATATTGCGGCCATAAATTCTACACAAAGAGTTCAATGAAGACCAAGTGGATGTAATAGGTAAGTAGGCGGGCACAAAAATCTTCCCGAAGCATCCTGGCGCCTAGGCGGAATAGATCCACCGCGGCTCTTTAAGAAATACGATCTGAGGGAGAAATTACCGCTAAGGTCAGAAGCTCCACCTTGATCAACCTACAAATCAAGGGAACGTCCACCTAATGGACAGGCAAACCACGTAGTTTTGAAAACAATTACCAATATTTTTTAAATGCAAACCTTCCTTAAATTTGTGAAAAAAAGTTTGGAAAACGAGAACATTAAGCTCCATTTTAATCAATCTACAAATTGAAAAGATTCACAAATTTAAGAAGGAGTTCACAGTTCGAAGTTATAGCGAGTGGAAGTAATCCAAGAGTTCAATAGTTGGAATTCTACTTCATGCACCTATATTTTGAAGGTTAAGATAAGAAAATAAATAAATGGGCCAAGCCGAGGAGGGAGAGGTGTGTGCGCCGGTTTGTGTGACGCTACTTTCTATAAAGCGGGAGCTCCTAGTCAGCGTTTGCTGTGCCAGTTAGTGGACGCAGCGCTCGCACGCCACCTTTCATGGGGCCGGCCAAACTACATGGGCGATCAGCCGTCGCTCGTGAGGAGCATACGCCCGATTAGTTCTTCGTGGTTCAACAAGTTGACCATTAACCGTTCACTTTCAACAAGTGGTTATCTTTTCGGAAAAGTTCATTGATATGAAAAAAAGTTTATGGATTTGCAAAATGTTCACAAATTGAAAAAGACCATGAATAGAAAAAAATTCACGGATTTTGGAAAAAATGTCCAACGATTTGGAAAAAGTTTATCGATTTTGAAAAAGTCCATCGACATTGAAAAACAAAGTCCATCAACTTTGAAAAAATTCATACATTTTTAAAAAGGCTCATAGATTTTAAAAAAAGAGCATCAATATTGAAAAAAGTTCACGGATTTTAAAAAAATTTAAAAAATTGAGAAAATATTCACAAAATTAAAATAAGTTTATTGATTTTTAGAAAAAGCGAAATTGAAAAAGTTTGCACATTGCAAAAGAAAAAGGAAAACAGAAAAGGAACAGAAAAAAAGAAAGAAACATGAAACCCGGAAAAAAACTGTTTGAAAAAACGAGAAAAGAACAGGAAATAGGTAAAAAGAAAAAAGAAAAGGAAAGGAAGGAAGGAGAAAAGTGCGATAGATCGAGGTATTTAGTAACATCAATTCAGGTTGGCTCTTTCTTTATCACATGAAGCTTTCAACCAAGAGGTAGCTGCTTCGGATCCTGCCATTGCTTATATTTCTTTTTAGATATAAAATATATAAAAACACGAGCATTATTTGAGAGTGACAGTTAAGGAGGTCAATATCCTACTCGACCAAACGTCATCAACATATAATTATTCATCAGGAAAAAGAAGCATGCAGCAGCGTATGCCTGCTCTCCGTTCAGTTCCGACGACCACTAGGTGGGATACCGCAGTACGTGCACCGGCATCCGTCGGAAACGCACTCGCCCACCGAGGTGCCGCTGATGCGTTCCTGGCAGTACTCCATGCACTTGTCAGGATTGCATATGCCGGGGATGGTCGGGAGCACCTTGCAGTCCATGGGGGTCACCGTCGCAGTGGCGCCACCGCCGTTAGCCGTCACCACCTTTGTCACCGTATCTACGGATCGAACAGCGCACACAGAGTAATTAGCGCGAGGCATATATATTACTCCAGTTTGTTACTTGAAAAGTTGAAACTAATAACGCACGTAGATATGCCAATGTGAGTATATATGCATACCTGAACAGAGCACCACAATGGCGAGGGCCAGTAGCATCGTGTAGAACGGCCTCATCCTGACTTCGCGAGGTTGTTTGGGGAGTGCTGAGAGATGTAGCGAAGGTTACTGACTGCTGTGATGTGTATTATTCAGCTAGTGGTTGCCGGACAAGCTAACTGCCTTCGCATGGTTGTTTACAATGCAAAGAACGGGCATGCTATTTTTGGAAACAATTTACTTCGAGGCTTTAGATGGAATGTAATAAGTACTTCTCAAAAGAAAGGTGTAATGTAATTAAGGGTGGCAATTATATATTTTTATCGAGTGCATATCCGTACTTGTAGTTGGAGTACTCATCTATTATATATAAAAAGTATTTGATGGGTTAACCGAAAATAAGAAAATAAACTAGAAAGTACCGCAAAAATTAGAAACATCTGACCATTAGTTTAAGTTAAGAAGCCAATTACAATCGATGGATATCAAAAATAGACAATGACATTAAAGATCATGAAAATTACCCACCAATGCCCTTAATAAAATTTGAACCTGTCAATCACGGTGGACATTGTTGGAAAATCGGAGCCACCACGATGGTGGCTGCGCGCCGCACGGGGTAGCCCCTCCCGTTTCCCCACTTTACGTTAAGTGGGTACTTATCCCTAGACCACCTAGTCCCTATATAAAGCAACGAGGAGACATCATTGTAACACCTAATCATTGATTAATAAAGCTGGTCTCCTCCATAACTCTCTGTGTCATTTACTTTCGCGTGTACGACTACTTCGACTACTTCGTCTACGACGCTCGCTCTCGCTCCGCAACCTTGGACCGGACTCGCCGGCAGGAGTTGCGGAACACGTTATCAGCATGCTTCGCTCCACCAACTCTCCGTCAAGCCTGCATCACGCAGGCTTTCGTCGACCCGCGGAGGTATAAGATCCGATCCCCACTCTTGGCAAAAATGGATTCCCCTCGTTACCGCGATTCCGTTTTTGCGGTTAGTTTCTTTTTCGGATTTGATCTACCTATGGTGCGGATTTTCCTCCCAAGAACCGAGCGGACGAACACGTCGCCGACCAATGTCGATGTTCTTGGACTAAGAGGAACTTGTTGACTGCACTATAGGGAGTCGGTACAGATCGCGATCAAGATGATCACGGTACCGCCGCAACGCACCCGTTGTGCCACGCGCCGTCGATGTTCCCGATGAACACGATGATATTTTTGAGATCCCGACGCCGGCGTCGCCGTCCCAAGCAGCTCGCCATACCCGTGCCCGATGCATGTTTCGTGCCGCCGTAGGCCCTGCTGGTCCCGGCTGCTGGCCGCCTCCGCGTGCACGTAAGGTAGCTGCGCCCGGCGGGCTAGCTGGCTTGGCCCTTGTCGCCGCCGCCGTGCCGTGGCCGCAGGGGCCTGGCCGCCCCGCGCCGGGGCCGTGCCGTGGCCGCGCGCCCTCCAGGCCGCGACACGCCGGCCTCTCCATGGCCGCGCCCTGCTGGCGCGTGCTCGACGCCGCAAACAGTGGCTGCCGACGCCGACGCGAGCCGTGGCGCAGCCGCAGCTACCGCCGCGAGCCGTGGCCGCCGCCGCCGCGAGCGCTGGCCATCCCGGCCGCGCCCTGCGTGCGTGCGTGCGTGGTCTTCGCCGCCGCGAGTACGCGCGCTGGCCTGCCCTGGCCGCGCAGTGCGTACGTGCCGCCGCCGCCGCTCGGGCGCTAGGAAACCCTAGCGACCCCTGAGCTGGCGAGCAGCCGGCCCAGTGGGCTGCTGTGGACCGGGTCCCATTTTTTCCTTTCCTCCATAAAAAAAAGAAAACGGGGGGAGGGCGGTGGGGCTGGCTACACGGGCCGACGGCCCATTTCGGCCTGCGAGCGCACTGGACCAGGCCAGAGAGCACACGCGCGCGCGTTTCTATGCTTTTGATCCCTCGGAGTTTCCAGATTTTATGCGAATTTTTATTCCTGCTATAATATTTTCCGTATAAGTCCCTGGAACTATCTGTTTTCGCTGGAAATGCGTATTTGGGGCTTAAAAATGCCTTGGGAATCCAATTTTTGGGCTAGTTTTCACACACTAGATGCGCTTAACATGCTATGTTTTGTAACATGATATTATTGTATGATTTTACTGCTGTAGATTAATTGATTAACACTCTTAATCATTTAGTAAGTCATATAAAGCATGTTTTAAATATTGGAACGTCCTTTTTATTGAATAAGTTTATCAACATCGCTTTGTGCAAAAGATTACCTGATGTAATCTCATGATTTTTGCATAAATCGCAGATGGCCGGAATTGTCCACAGGGAGTTTGCTGAGTTGGCCCAGACAGGGCTGAACTACCTGTCTTGGCCCTTGGACTACGAGATTTTTCTCCAGGGCAAAACCCTCTTGAGGGCGATCGGAAAGGGGGCCCAGCTGGCCGCCACTGATCCCAAGTTCGAAACTGAGAATGCGCAGGCTCTGCACTTTCTCCGTCATCACCTGTCACCTACTCTGAAAGATGAGTATATGGCTGAGCGCAGTGCTTCTGGCCTTTGGACCGCCCTTAAGCAGCGGTTTGAGCGGCTGAACTACAATGTGAATCCACATGCAGAGGCAGAGTGGATCCGTCTGAGGTTTGCGGACTTCAAGACGGTTGGGGAGTACAATTCGGCTCTGCACCGGATTTGTACGACTCTTCGGTTGTGTGGTACTGAGATTATCGATTCCCAGAAGATTGAGAAAACCCTATCCACTTTCCACCCCGACGCGGTCCAGTCCTCACGGAACTACCGCCAGGGGAACTACACGAGGTATTCAGAGTTGATTGACGTCCTCCAGGTGGCGGAGGCGCAGGATGAGGTTCTCAAAAAGAACTTTGTCGCACAACCACTTGGGGGAAGTTCTCGCCAGGAGGTGAACGCTCTCAAAGTCCGCAAGCCTCAACAGAAGAAGAGGGGCCGCAAGGGCAAGAAGAAGGGACCTCACCCTCCTGCCCCGGCTAAGCAGAACAAGCCGGGCAAGGGAGGGCAGCGGCCTCAGGACTGCTTGCGTTGTGGCTCGGTGGAGCATTTCTCCCGCCAGTGCCGCGCACCACCGGAGGTCGTTGAAGCATACAAGGCTCGGAAGGCGCGTGAGACGCACCTCGCCTTGGTTCAGGAGGGAGCACCACCGGCGCCCATGGCGGCACCCGTGATGATCGCTACGCCCCCTGCTGCGCCCATAGAGGCGACCCCCGTGGTGCCCATCGCGGTAGCTTTGGCGGTCTCTACCGACGCCCACGTCGCCATGGAGGTTGCCACATGGTCGCCTTGGCGGCGGCGGCGCCACTAGACATTGATGCGGCCTCCAAGATGATTTCTAAGGAGGATCAGCTCACTAGTATGGAGATTGCGGCGGAAGTGAATGGTTTCTTCACCGAGTCCACTTAGCATAACTCTTTGGTTATCATGATTCCGTGATACAATAAAATTGAATAAATTCGATTTGGTTGTAAGCTCTATGAGAGCATAAACTTATTCTTTACTTTGGCGATTGGATGACATTTATTCATTTATTCCATTATTTATACATGATAGCATGTTATGTTCTGACATGTGTGCATTTCTCTTTAATGTATTTTCTTCCTCATTACATTAATTAGATGTCATATTTTAGAACGTGTGTGGCGCCCGAATGGAGGAAACGTGCTTTGCCGATAGCGCCACCACTCATACCATTTTACGAGAAACTAAGTATTTTGAGTCCATTAAAAATCTCCGGGAAGTATTATGACAATCGCCGGCTGCGGTTCTCACATAGTTGGCTCCGGACGAGCCACTATTATACTCCCTATGGGAACAACTTTGATCATTAATGATGCGTTGTTGTACCCAGAGTCGACTCATACTCTTTTGAGCTTTAGAGACATCTGCGCTAATGGTTTCCATGCTGAGACCGATAATGAAAACGGCAAGGAGTGCCTACTCATCACAAAGCGGGATGCCGGTGGTAAACATGTTATCGAAAGGCTTCCTTCGTTTGACACAGGGCTATACTACACTAAGATAGTAGCACCTCCCGTGTACACTACCCTCAAGACCGTCTTTAGAAGCTTTGAACTCTTCTACCTCTGGCACGATAGGTTAGGCCACCCCGGACTTAGGATGATGAGAAATATAATTAACAACTGACATGGCCATAATGTTAACGTGAAGAACTTCCCGAATCCCGATGATTTCGTGTGCTCCGCATGCGCTAAGGGGAAGTTAGTCATTAGGCCATCGCCCCTCAAGGTGAGGGATGAAATCCCCGCGTTCTTGGAATGTATCCAAGGGGACATATGTGAAAGTGCTAGTTATCGACTAGAGGGGGGGTGAATAGGCGATTTTTATGAAAGTCTTCAAAACATGGAAGTTTCAAAGACAAACAATAGAAATAACCTAATTGATATGCAGCGGAAGATAAACTACAACAAGCAAGCCATAGTCAAGTATGCAATAGCATTAATGTACGAAGACCAATAGCAGCTAGGTAGTAGGATCAGGATGGAATATAGTATGAAGCCAATCAACAATAGTAGTCAAGAAATGAAGTCAATCAGATAAGACAGATAAGCAATGACTTCACGAAGACAAACTCAAAGTAAAGGAGGGAAGAGATAGAACCTGTCACTTGTTGAAGACACAGGATTTGTTGGACCAGTTCCAGTTGCTGTGACAACTGTACGTCTGGTTAGGGAGGCTGAGATTCAACTCAGAAGACCGTGTCTTCACCTTATTCCCCTTGAGCTAAGGACACCCAGTCCTCGCCCAATCACTCTGGTAAGTCTTTAAGGTAGACTTCCAAACCTTCACAGACTCCGTTCACCCAGCAATCCACAATGTCTCTTGGATGCTCAGAATGAGACGCCTAACCGGATGGAGGATACACAGTCCTCAAGTGTAATAAGTCTTCAGGTCACACAGACAGAAAGACTTCAGTGATGCCTAACACTCTTTGGCTCTGGGTGTTTGGGCTTTGTCCTTGCAAGGATTTCTCTCTCTCAAATGCTTCGAGGTGGGTTGCTCTCAAATGACAAAAGTCGTATACTAACTCTGAGCAGCCACCAATA